GTGCCTGTTGATTTAATTCAAAGTCTTTCCAAATCTCAGAGCAAGAAGTGCTCTATCCACTTTTTGACTCCGCCCTCATGTTCAAGTACATGTAAGCACTCTCCGCTATTTTATAGACATCAAGTGCAGCAAGGCAGGAGACCTCTCTATGACTCTCAGGACAGGCCAAGTTACCGGTTATGGGCGTGGGATTAGGAGGCGTGGCACTCTGACTGCTACATGTAGAACATGATGGACGGTTATGAGATAACAACTAAGAGAGACAGAGAGTGGGAGAAAAAGATAATATCTAATTATTAAATAAATATTAATAAATATGTTATACTTACCCAATGGGCAGATGATGGTAATATATTAGCGTCAAATAATTCTCCAATTTTTTGAAGTCGTCCTTGAAATGTTGACGAATAGCATTGAATGTCAGGAGAAGAGAGAAGCTTCTTAATATCAGCTGCCTGCTTTGTAAAGGCATCAAAATGATTACCATATATGTAAAGGTTAGCGGTCTTGGACCAGCTAAGAGGAGGGAACTTGCTCTCTGGTACATAGTCGGTCCACGTCTTGATGCCGGTTACCGTGGCAACATTGGAGCATTGGGTAGTTGCCTGTTGTATGAAAAAAAAAACAACTTTAAAATCTTATAAAAAAATTAATTTTGATCAGAATCAACTTAAACTTCGTACACAACATAAGTACATGCATATGTAACAGAAAAAATTATAAAAATGGAAAATTCTCTACTTTTCATTTTTGGTGAAATTTGGCCCGAGACCGTGTACTATATAGCAAGGCTGCAAAAGTCTAGTCTCGCTAGCCAGACTCTAATTTACCGAATAAGAGTCTGGTGTCACGCCTAATATCAACTCGTGTTTTCAATGTTTTGATTTGCGTGGGCAGACCTACTGACATGCCCACTCTTTTTATGAATAAACATTTAAAGCAGCGCGGTCATGGAAGCAGCAGAGGCAGCAGTGTCTAGTGTGGCAGCTAGTTTCGGATACCTTTTAAAAGATAAGCAGTTGGAAGCTATGACGCAATTTATGTCTGGAAATGATACCTTTGTTGCTTTGCCAACTGGCTATGGTAAAAGTATCATTTATGGTTTATTGCCTCGAGTTTTTGATCATGTAGTTCTCTGAGACCCGGGATGCATGCAGGAGATTCTATTGCTATAATAGTTTGTCCACTAAAGGCTCTCATGAAAGACCAGACCTCACATTTTAGAGATATTGGCATCAGTGCTGCTTTTGGTGGTGAGCCAAACATCTCTATGGATAGATTTATCAGAGGGGAATTCCAGCTCATTTTTCTCAGTCCCGAGTGCCTGAATAGAGGAAGAGCATGGAGAGAAATACTTAAAAGTAATATCTACCAAGAGAGAGTAATTGCTTTTGTGGTGGATGAGGCACATTTAATTAAGAATTGGTAAATAATTATGATTTCATGTGGCATAATAATAATAATATTTTTAATAATAGGGGTGATGATTATAGGCCAGAGTTTTCTAAGCTAGGAGAAATAGGAAGTCTTCTTCCGCAGCAAACCAATGTCATGGCCTTAACTGCCACTGCAACAACAGCTCTGAGAGACCATGTCATTAAAATCCTTGGTATGAAGAGAGTCTCCGTAGTGGAAGTATCTCCAGGAAAGGACAATCTGTTCTTTTCAATCAAAGAATTCAAATCTATTGGGGAAAATTTTATTCCTCTAATGAAAGAGCTGAAAGACAAAAAATTAAGTATGGAGAGAACTCTTATTTTCTGTCGCCGTCCAATAGACTGTGCTGAACTGTGGTCTGCTTTCATTAGATTTTTGAAAGATGATATTACTGAACCTCCAGGTCTTCCCCTTAAAATTCCTGAGGTACGACTTGTAGATTACTACACTGGATGTACACAGGAAGCTGTGCGTAATGTTATTTTGAGCCAGTTTTCGAAACCATCTTGCTTAAGGGTAGTAATAGCTACTGTGGCCTTTGGCCTTGGAGTTGACTGTCCTGATATCAGAAGAGTAATCCACTTTGGAGTTCCTGAAGATGTGGAAACATATGTTCAGCAAGTTGGTCGGGCAGGACGAGATGGCAAATTGTCTTCCTGTGTGATGCTTTATGGCCCTGGTGTCTATAGACGGTTTAGTAATGACCACATTTTAGCTTATTGCAAGTCAAAAGACACGTGTCGCAGAGATTTTTTGTATTCTATGTTTTCTTCATATAATCCAAATGAGAGACTTAAAAATACTTGTTCTTGCTGTGATGTTTGTTTTCAAGTTTGTTCATGTTCTGAGTGTCAATTCTCGCAATAGAGAAAATTATCCTTACCATATAATAGTCAAGTATTTTCATTATTAATACATAAAACATTATTATTCATTACATTATGGATAATATGCACTTTACTTGTGTGTATGTATGATGCATAGAGAATAATAGAAATCATCTTCTGAACAACATTTATTGAACTTCTTTTGAATGATGTTATGATAGAAACAATGAGACCAGTAACACGGATAATATCTTTATTCATCTTATTCTTGCCAGTGAGAATTAATTTTAATAGTTCAACAATGCATGGAGCATGTGATTTGATCTTTTGAAAGTAATTTGCCCATGAAAAATCAGCTAATTTAATGCTGATTAATGAATCTGCTACATTGTTTGAGCAAAGATGTCGCATCTCCCATTTTAAAAGAGCACCAACCTGACCCAATAGTGGCTGCAAATATCTACGATGCTTGATGAGTTCCAGTGCGAGAGATTTCAGTTTTCCTCTTACCAGCAGAGAAGCAATTTTTTTTCTTCTCGGAGTCACAAGGTGAGTCACACGTGGTGTTTCATAATTAAAGACAACCTATGATTAATGTAGTTGATAATAATAGCCAGCATATATCACATGTAATGCAGTAAAGTTATTTGTAACAAAATGCATAAATTCTTACAGATAAATCAGGATCCTTCTTTTCTTTGGTGTAGTTTGCATGGTCTGATCCAGGCATCTTGCTCTTTTAATCCCAGGGTTAACGACAGTAACTGCAGTGTTGGGAACTAGTCCAGAATCTAAAACGTTTATAATGTGGGCCTCTAGCTCTTGCTGCAATTTCATGAACTGTCCTAGCTTCTTGTAGCAACTTTTGCATGCATATCTACATGTAGTCCATTCCATGATGTTCGTAGATGTAGCACATCCCGGAAATTCTACCCCCTTCAATTTCATGCTTCTCTCAAAGAGTTCAACTAGCGTAGGGACTACAGATTTACTGGACTCAGAGGTTAAAAGTCTCCTATCTCTGTTTGTTGCAGCACCGCAGCAAAGACAATTCTCAGCCATGTTTAAAAACGTGGGAGTAAGACGCTGTAACCATGGTAACTAAGCAATAACTATAGACACGGCAATTTCATTGGGTCTCCCATTTTTGGCACACCCGGTTATCCTATTGTTCCTGGATAGTTGTCCGGAGTTAGGTGTAACTGTTCCTGGAAACTATCCATAGGGATAGACACTATGAATAATAAGTAGTTTAGCTTAATTAATGATTAATGAATAAGGGGGAGGGATGTCAAGGAGCTATGGAGGCTCACTCAGGAGCTCGCTCAGGAGGCTGAAAGCCTGAAACATCAAGAAAGGCAGCTCAGTGGATCATGGTTTTTTAAATCACGAAGTGGATGGAGTAC